GTCATGCCACTCTCTGGGGAAAAGGCGAGTCGGTACATATGGGAATAATGGACATAAAGAAAGCGTTTGATCATGTCACTGTCTCGATGGTGATCCGCGCGATGGAACATCTGAGATACCCAACAGATCTGATTATTGCAATTGTGGAGCCCATGATTGGAAACACAGCAGTTTTTGATTTCCAGGATGTGTGCAGCGAAGAGATCGTGTATAACAAGTCGGTGCGAACTGGAGGGAAAGAAGGCCCAGTACTCTTCAATATTGTGTTGGAGGCAATTTGGGCCTCTATTGCTGAATCATGGGAAGCATGTCATTATGGAGTACGATTGGAAGGCGAGGGGACACAACAGGCGCTGGTCAACCATTACATATGGGCTGACAATGTGGTGCTGCTGGCATCTTCGGCGAATCAGCTGAGGAATATGGTGAGTATGTTGACCGTGGCCCTCAGACGGGCTGGTATGGACTGGAAGATTGAGAGCCTGGAGTACCTTGTTTTTGGGCTGAGACAAAACCAGGGACCACAATCATTAGTTTGCGAACTGGGAGATGATATTTGTGCACGGGCTGGAGACCCCAGCCTACCCTATCAATTACGTGAGGCAGTGGTTTTGCCGAGGAAAAGCGAGTGCGACATACTGGGAGTTAAATTTGTGACGAACCCGAAGGATTTCCATGCAGTGCGGCACCGTATTGATGCAGGCAGGCGGTGTTTCTATGCTGATATTAAATTCTATCGATCACGCGCGGTGAGCATGAGGGAAAAATTCAGACGGTATCAGAGCAGAGTTCAACAGATCATATGCCATGGATGTGTGGGGTGGAGCTGTAATGAACATGTGCTGAACATATTGAGGAGCTTTGAAGGAAGATGTTTGAACACAATGCGGGGATTACATAGAAAAGAGACGGAAACGTGGGAGGAGTTCAGGGATCGCAGTACCAACAGATCCAGGGAGATGTTCAAGGAGGGGGGGTTCAAAACGTTGGTGGAGAAAGTTGTGAGGTACAACTTTGAATTCGCCGTGGAGGTATCCCAATATAAGTGCCACATGCCGTCCACTGTGTATAGCAAATCGTGGCAGCAGACGCTGCGCTCCATGTTGCACGTATCGGGGGAGTGGACGGTGCAGAGGGATGAAATGCTGGCGGCAGTAAGTCGGACGATGTCGAGAGAGGGAACGAGACGGCTCAGAGGCAGACCACGAATCGTGGCGAGCAGCTGGCATGCACCCTTTGAAAAGTGGAGGTCGCTTCTGTGGCACGACACGTGCGTTGTACTGACGGATTGGGAGGAGTTTGTGGAACACATATCACAGATACCCAAAGTGGAGGATATGTTTGTGAGGAGGAGTAAGGAGAGGAGGATGGGAGGGTTTGCGAAGACACCGACAGATGACGAGTTGGCCCGACGTCTTGCAGTTATTAATGAACAGACTACGATATGGGACCCTGGGATGGAAGGTATCGCTGTTGAAATGTGCGGAGACAGTAAAACGGTCGTACAATGGTTGAGGGGAGTCTGGGCCTGTGACAACAGTGGGTATGCCAAACGGATCGCCAGAATACAAAATATCATGTATGACGTGAGTGAACAACACAACATACGATGCCCGACGTACGGTAGGGATTTCTGGAAACATATCTATAGGGAAGCCAATGCCTATGCTGATGAGCTGACACACCATGCGAGAGAAGGAAACTGTTACAGAATTTACAAGCATGACTATATCAAACAGAACAGGACAAACATCAAATACATCAGAGGATGTTGGGATGGTGGAGTGAGCAGTGAGGGTGCTGCAGGAGGTCACTGGATCGAAGTTGCTCCAGAGAATGGCCCGTGGACACTCGTGAGCTCAGAAGCCTACATGTTTGATGTAGGTGCCACCGTGACGGAGGCAGAATTATCTGCTGCCGAGCGCCTGTGCACAGGTGTGGAGCACATTGTTAGAGAAATTTCCTCTGCAAAGCGGAGGAGGCGGATTTAACTGGCTCTAGCCCTTAGGCTTGGGCGCACGCGCCCTGTGTAGCCTGACCAAACACCAAACATCTGTAGGATCCCGCGCGCAGCGCAGCGTGTTTCACTTTCGTCCTACCTCGCCCTGCCGTAGAAACCCTGCTCGCGCAGGCACCTTGAACAGTTCAGGTCCGCATGGATGTCGCGCTTGCATTCTTGCGTTGTTCCAGCGGAACGCCGCGTCGGATGCATTTCGCCCTCCCGCGCGAGTGCTGAGGCCCAAGCGGGCCCGAGTATAGATATCCAAGCCGCTATGCACGGCGCCCAGGGCCAGGTTCGACAGCGAGTTCCTCGAGACTCAAGAGGTCAGTTTTCCGCGTCAAACATAGCTATTTCTTTCGTGCGCGCGCATGGAGACTCGCGCGCATCGAAACGCCAGTGATGGAACGCGCCATTCGATTTGTCCCCGCGTCACGTGAGCCCGCGTGCCTTGTGGCCCACGGCGCGGGGGCTTCTCTGGTTGCGGCCGGGCGATCGAGCCAGGGGCTGCTCGTCGGCGCGGCCGCGTGCCAGAAACAATGTCGTCGCATTCGCTGGCGCCGCCGGTGCCTCCCTGGACGGGGCCCGTGTATTTGCGCATCGCGAATTGGAGGAATCAGCCGGCGAGAATGATCGGATGGTTTGCCGTGCCTGGCCGACGGCCTCAGCTGCCGCCCCGAGGTCCCTCCCAGGCTTCGCGCCTCGCGACGACTCGATTCACTGCGCGCGAAGTCTTGATCCGGGCACTGGGGCCAAAGACGCCCTGGGGGCCATCTCGCTGGAGCCTCGCATGACCGCGCGAGGGCTCATGCTGTGGCCCGCGTCGAGCGATGACGGTTTGGAGACTGGATGGGGCCACCTGACGGCTAAACGCATCGATGGCGCAGACGTGGCCGGCGCGACAGGCGCGATTGACGAGCGCGGCAAATTTGCAGAGAACAACTTTGGCGAATGCATGCCCAGTAGAGGCGCCAACGCAACGTGCGCCGTCAGATTCGGCAGTCTTGCAGATGGCCGCGCCGCCCTCGCCCAGGACAAACGCGTCGCGCGGCTGCGCCCGGCGCGGCGCCCCGCGGTCGTGGGCGCAGAACTCGGGGGAATGGCGGCGAGGACTGTGATTGGCATGTTTGTCGGCCTTCGGGGTTTTCTGATTTGTGTTTCAATCGGCCAGGTGCGGTTGATTGCGTGCGTATTAGATATGGTGGAAGAGGCTGGGGCCTTCTGGGTGACGGACTCCCAGGACATCCATAGGGAAATCTGCATGTTGTTTTCGGGCGTTCCCATAGTCATCGGACAATCTCTGGGCACTGAGGCCTCCCTGCGTACGTGTTCCAATCGTCTCCAGGCTGCGCAAATATTCGGGGGGGTCCCCGGAAAATCTCGGCGGGGCAGGAACCTTGGGGCGGTGTCCAGAATTTGTGCATGCCCAGGGGGACGGGGCATCTCTGGTGGAAGTCTCGCTCGATATTTTGAGGCGCGATGATTTGTCGGAGATTCGCCGGGTGGTTTTTGGGGCGCGAAGATTGTGTAGGTCCGCAGGGGGATTCTAGGGCGAAGATGTTTTGGAGACTCGCTGGAATAATTTGCTGGGGATTGGAGATTCGCTGGGAATCGTATATTTTTGGACGTTCCAGACTGGTCGCGTTTGCCATGATCGACCCAAGCTAATGTGAGTTGTATCTCTACCAAAAAGACAGGTGCGACGACTTTGCACTGTCGCTAGGAATTTACAGGCAGCCGCGGAGAAAGTCGCATGCCAACCTATGGCCCCAACGTGAGAAGTGGACCTGCACGGCGACGTCTGCCACGGACGCCACGGCGACGCCGACGACGAGGTTGATCGTTCTGGCATCAGAGGTGCCAGCCTATTCAGTGTTGACACGCAAGGTGGAAGCCCGTCGTTCGCCTGGTAGACGCGCGTTGCAAGTCCGATTGGCTGCGTGTGCGCTCCATCTGTTCAGCGGAAGCTCTAGCAGCAGCCCTCAACTTGGACGACCTGCTGCCCGACCATCGTGGTGCTGCTTGAACTTCAAGCGGGACCACGCGCCCCAACGCAGCTCAAATGCAGGTTGGACGTGGGAGGTCTATGCATCAAGGTCGCATGGACCATTGGTGCAGCGTCCGGTTTCAAATCTTGATTTTGCAAGGGTCTACAGAAACCGACATAATATACATTGTTGGGCCACATAAGTTTGATCAGAGAAATGATGAACAGTGGTATCGCACAGAGTGTACATTGGCGTAACGCACGTAATGTGACAGCCGACGGACATACCAAACATCGTATCGGCCGTGAGCTCTTCCTACATGTGATGTCATATATTCCGTTTTGCAAGCACGAACATAACAATTCTTCATCGTACCGGGCTTATCGGGCTTCAACTGCTGAGCCTGGCCCTGCCGCCGGCCCTGGCGGGCGGCTGAGCGCGCACGCGGGCGCGCGCGTTGCGCCCCCCTTCTCTCCCCCTCCCCCCCTCCCGCGGTTCTGTCGTTCGTCTGTCGTCCGCCATTCGTCGTCGTTGTTTTTTTTTCCTGCTCTCTGCCGCTGGGTTTCTCTTGCGCTGTTAGGAGAACGGCCAACACGTTGATTTCTCGCCGAGGCTCTGGGCGTCCTGGGTGCCTCTGGGGTACCTCCCGATAGGCCTCTTAAGGTTTTTGTTTAGCTTTTTGGCGGCATCTATAAGGGGCTTTTTGCGGGCATCTCGGGACCTCCTTGGCGCGTCCCGGGGCCGTCTTGGGCCACCATCGTGAGCCCCGTGGGCCACATTGGGGCCTCTTGGGAGGATATCGATCAAAGAAGAGGGACTCGTTAATCGCTTCCCCACGAGGCCAACACGTGGCCAACAAGTTCGTACAATCAATAATTTTGGCTTCCTCGCCGAGGCCATGTTGGACGCCCCCCCCCCTCCCAGAAGACCCCTCCATGTCCAGGTGTAGGGGGTATGGGGGGGGAACCCTTCCGCAAAGTGGAAGACAGGGGGTTCGAAGAGGAAACCCGCGAAACCACTTACGCCGTAAATGGTTGCTGGGCTTTTCTGGCCAGGCACATGGTAACATTGTCTTTCTCTTGTCTCCTCCCTGAGGCTCCAGTAGCCGCAGCGCAGCAATGATCGATATCCTTGTGCAGTGCGTGCCGTCCCCGAAAACATGAAGTTCTGTGAGGTCTGTGTCGTCAGTGCCCCAGTGCGTCTCAAGGATACGCTTGGGACATCACATTTCGAGAGTTATGTGGGTCCCCTTGGTGCTCGTATCGGCGCTACACGGTCGAGTCGTGTCCATTCTGGGTGGACTTATCTCATTTGCCTGCCTCGAACTTTCTGTATCTTCGAACCCCTGCAGTCGGGACCTGGCGGAGAAGCTGGCCACGGCTACTATTGACACTTACACCGACATCGTCCAGGATTCGCCGGTGCCCCACCACGGGGAGGGGGAGGCAGACGTGGAGGACGAGGGGGCGGGGGCGGGGGCGGGGGAGGAGGACCGGGAGAGAAGGATGATGAGAAGAAGGGGAGGGGGGCGGAGGGCGGGGGAGGCAGAGAGGCTTGGGGGTCTGGTCGACGTGCCCATTCGCGTCAGCCCGCCAGGCCCCGGCTTCCGTGGACCTGCGCGCGCTCGCTCGCCCGCTCTGAGTTGCGACGGCCTGCGCGGTCACCCGTCTTTCCCATCGGGCGATGCGCCCTCTCGTCGTCTGGGCTGACACCCCCCTGGCGGCGTGAGGACATGCTGGACGCCCACCCGGCAGACTCCGTGACGGAGCACGAGAGGGAGCTGCAGCTCGCCTACCACACCGCCTACTTCTACCAGGCGGGGTCCTGGGCGCGGCCCCAGGGGGCAGGGGGCAGAAGACCAGGGGATGCTCGGGGTACGCTGGCTGAGCGACGTGACGTAGGAAAACGCGGCTGACTGCGCGGGCATTCAGCATTGACGCGTAAATTACACGCGCCTTCGTGTGCACGACTTCTGCGAGATCGTGGCGATAGTGCTGCATAGTTTCCCATTCGCTTTGCTTCGTGAGGCCAGTTGTGGTGCTTCCACAGGTCCTTGGCCCAGGATCGGCCTGACCAGCACCAAAATGTGTACATGTGGATAGCCGGCGCCCACCGATAGGCGGAAAGCGGCAGGAGCAGGGAGGCTGGGTAGTTCGCTGTGCAGTCGTGGTCCACGCGACGGCTTGCGGACACAGGGCAGCTCGTCTCTAGTCGACATGTAGGCGTGCGGGTATTTGTGCATGCATGTGTGACTCGGGTGCAAGTCATTTGGCTCCCGTCTGGAGCTCGCGGGGGCAGGGAAGAGCAGGAGGATCAGGAGCAGCCCACGAGGGTGAGGTGACAAGGGCGGAGGCCGCTTCCCCAGAGCTAGGTTGGTAGGGGTAGACCCATTGCAGTCGCAGCCGGCGAGCCCTGCTGCTGCCCCCGCCCCAAGGTGCCCCCCTGACCTCTTCGGACTTCTTTCAAATGCCAAGGGCGCCCAACATTTTCCTCTCCGTCCCCGCTCCCCCTTCCCCCTCCGCAGCTTTTTGTTTCGGTTGAAGTGCCATCGAGTCGGTCGCATTCTCAGATCTCCCCTTGCTCTCTCCCCCTGCCGCCCCGCCCTCCCCACCCCGCCCATAATTATTGCCATTTCCCCCTTTGCCCTTCCCCACTCCTCGGCTCGTCATATTGGTCGTCACGTCATGTCGGGCGTGCCCCCCATGGCCTGGCACTCCCCAAGCCCTCCCCCGGCCGTTTCCTGTTGTGCACCTTCCCCATGCCCTCCCCCTCCCCGCGGCCCTTCATGTCTGTTGCCCTGTAGTCGTGCGCCGATTCTGACCGTTGCTCGTCACTGGCGGCGGTCGTACTCGGACCCGTGGTAGTGATGGTAGTTGGAAGTACCAGTAGAGGCGAATCTGGTGATCGCATGGTTCTGACGAGTTGCGTGATCCGTATGCTTGTGCCTGTCGCTCGTTCTCCCCCCGATGCGAGCCCTCGCTGCCGCCGCAATTCTTTTCGATGACAATTCGCCTTGTGCACAAGCCCAGGCCCACGCACGCCTCGTTGTTTCTCCCAGCACTCCCATTCTGGGCCTCTCGTCTTCTCGAGCTTCTCTCAGCTCCTTCTTGCCGTCCTCACTCAAACGCTTCAGTTCAACTTCGATCCTTGACCCTTCTCTAGGCCCATCCTTCTCGCCCCCAACGCTCCTCTCTCCACCTCGTCGTCCTCCCCCTTACCCTTGCCTAAGTGTGAAGATCCTGCCTATCAAGGGGCATGTGTCTCGATGGCGCCTGGTTCTACCCGACCCGTCCGGCCCGTTTATGAGGCAGTTTTCTGGCTAGGCGATGTCAGAAGCCAGCTGCTGTTTTCCGTGATCGCTCCCGACCATAGGTGCAGTGCTATTACGTCATGTATTGTTTGGAGCCTCCAGTTTTTTTGCACTTGTCTTGAACTCGGCCTTTTTCATGGAATTTCTGACACCTTCTCGCCGCGGTGGTGATGCGCCAGGCCTGCCGCGGCTTGGGGTTCCAGTTCTCGTTTTGGGGCCCCTGGGCCTCGGCGGAGCTTCCCCGTCGCCTCGGCACACCCGGCTCAGAGCGTCTTGGGCTCCACCTGATCTTCTGTTCATTGTGTGTACTTGCCTTGGCCTGCCGTGTCCTTACGTCATGCTCCTTGCCTCGTCCGTGGGTCTTTGCACCAGTGCACTTCTTCACTTGCCCCAGGGGTCGAGTGGCCCCCAGTACAGTTTTCCATCCTTGTGTTGCTGCGTGTGGTTAACTTCGTGCGTTGGCATCCTGGGCGGATTGTCATCGGTGATCCTGTGTCTCACGGTAATTTTTCGATCATGGATCCCCCTTTTCAGTCCCTCACTTCACCTTCCCTGCCCCTGCTGCTGCCTCTTTCGCTCGCGGGGCGGGGTTGTGTTGGGGGGCCTCCTTTTTGTTTTCGCCCTTGTGTCACCCGTCCTGCTCCCCTGCTGATCGTGCTGTTCCCCGCTGGTGCTGTTGCTGTGCGCCACCTACTGGGTGTCTCTCTGCTGCTGCTCCGCGGTGCCGGTGCCGCTGTCTGCCGCGTGGTGGCGTTGGGTTGGGACCTTTGCGCTGTCCGTCTGGGAAGTCGTGGGAGCGAGCGACGGCCAGTGCTCGCGTCCTTCTGCCTTGCCGCCACCCCCCACCCCGTGCCTGTCTCTGAAGCATCCCGCTGCGCCTCTCTGGATCGGAGGGTATCTCGTGCCTGGGTCCTCGGATGTGTTCGGGTCCCGAGGGTCTCCCACCCGAGCGAGGCACGGGTGGGGACGGCGAGCGCAAGCGTCATCCTTTGTGGGGCACGGACTCTGTCGTCCCCCTGTGTCGAGTGCGCCCCCCCGCCTTCGAACGTGGCCTCCCGCCCCGTTGGCGAGCTGTCCTGCCTCTATGCCCGCGCGCGCGAGGTACCTCGGTGCTTTCGCGCTGTGGATGAAGCTAGCCTTGCTGCTGGGGATCAGCGGCCAGTACCTTGCCTCCTCCTCTCTCCTCCTGCATGGCTGGCGTGCGCCTGCCTGACAGCTGGCGACTGACCACGGAACAATGAGTTGCGGTGTGTTCGTCAGCTGCGTGGGGAACAAAAACCTCCCACATGCTCTGTTCCTCTGCTGCTCCTCCCTCTCTCCAGCTCTCCGAGACAGCGTTGATTTCGTTCTTCTTCGTCGTCGTCGTCGCCCCCCTTCCCACTTCCCCCTTCCAGCCCGCGGGAGCGCAAGAAGGGGGGCGCCCGAGGTGCTCTTCCTGGATTGCGGGACCACCGCCGGCCTGCTCACGCACGCTGAGAACGACGTCGGTGGGGGTGGACAGGGGAGAAGGAGGAGGAGGAGGAGGAGGAGGAGGAGGAGGAGGAGGAGGAGGACGAGGAGGCGGAGGAGAGGAGGAGGAGGAGGGAGGAGGAGGAGGCGGAGGCGGAGGCGGAGGCGGAGGCGGAGGCGGAGGAGGAGGAGGAGGAGGAGGAGGAGGAGGAGGAGGAGGAGGAGGAGGAGGAGGAGGAGGAGGAGGGGAGGAGGCGAGGGAGGAGGAGGAGGAGGAGGAGGAGGAGGAGGAGGAGGAGGAGGAGGAAGAGGAGGAGGAGGAGGAGGAGGAGGAGGAGGAGAGGACGAGGACGAGGACGAGGACGAGGAGGACGAGGACGAGGGGAGGAGGAGGAGGAAGAGGAGGAAGGAGGAAGAGGAGGAGGAAGATGAGGAAGAGGGGAGGGGAGGGGGAGGGGGAGGGGAGGGGGAGGAGGGGGAGGGGGAGGAGGAGGGGGAGGGGGAGGGGAGGGGGAGGGGAGGGGGGAGGGGGAGGGGGAGGAGGATGATTTTTTTTCCAGTGCGCCGCTGCCAGCCAACCTCCAGAGTGCAAAAGATGCAGGGGTTGCCTGGCAGGGAAAAGGAATTACGCCATCCAGCTCTTGGAGGTCTTGGACGGCGGGAGGCCCTTGCAAACCCGCTGTAAAACCTCGAGCTGGTGCTTTGTGCTGGCGTGCGGTCCCAGCGCGGCCACGGGACAAGGCTCCCGCAGGGAGTCAGGGCGAGCTATTGCCCAAGAGCCGCATTCACCGCAAAAAGTGAAAACACCCTTCTGCCACAAAACGTGTGACGGGTGGACCGCCTTGCCAGCGACCCAAGGCGCAGCACGCTGGGGGGGCGGGTCGAGCCTCAGGCGACGCCATAGGGCTTCATCCCTGGCGGCCAGGGCCCGACCTGGCCTCGCCCACTTCTTCACAGTGACCTCCTCCGCCACCACCGACTCCGAACCCCCAACTCCGCCTCCTCCACAAGCAGAGCAAGCCGAGCGGAGCCTCGCACGGAGCGAGGGGGCAGCATCGGAGATCGAAGCCTTGCGCATCCCACAAGTCGAAACGCCAGAACCGAACTCCCAAACGTGCGACGAACCCCTCACATCAGCTTCGATCCACCGACGCCTGCGGAGCACAAGGTCAATGGGCTGCTTGCGCAGCCGGCGCTCAGGCTCGGCCTTGAGGGCAGCACATTCGGGAATGATAGAGGCGTTACGCTTGAGGATGGCACAAACATTGCCGACGAGCTCATTATATGCCTGAACAACTCCATTCGGAAGCTGGCGTTCCCGAGCACGCAATTCAGCGAGCTCGTCAGCGACAGAGTTGAGCACAACCTGGTCCCAGTCTACAGAGTCGCCAAAACGGGCGAGCTTTTGGGGATCCTCCAACAGGTGGCTGGGGACATGAAAAAGCTGGAAGTCCCCAGGTCGCTCTGAGAGGAGCTGCCATAATTCCCACCAGAGGTCAAAATTAGCCAGCCTCGCAGAGGCAGCTCGACCAGCCAGGAAACCTTTGACAATGTTGGCATGGTCGGTGGCCACGCGCAGAGCTTGGGCAGGGTCAACGCAACGAAGGCACTCAACAATGGCCGCAAGCTCTGCGCGGGGAACCGTCTGTCGAACCGAGTCGAGTACACCTGTGACTCCACAATCCCAATCAAAATCATCGCTAGGACGGAGCCGCACAAAGGCAAAGGCAACTCGTCGGAGGACAGGAAACTTGGCGAACTGCCCTCCCGTGCCATCAGTGGCATAGAGGCCTCCTGGCAGACAGCCTGGAAACAAGGCCCCAGGACAACGCCGCCCCTGGAGGTCCCTGGAATCAGGCACAGGAGGGAGGTTGAACCAGGAAAGGGAAAGAAGTCCTCGCATCCAGAAGCACGGGTACTGGAGAGCCTCCTGCTGGGCACCGTGCCTAAGGTGCTGAGAGTCAACGATCTCCTGGACCTGCGACGAAGCATTACACATGCACTCCCAAAACCTGTGGCGGGAGGTCTCGGGGTCACGCTGGCAACGCCTACAAATAGGATCAGGGGCCATCTGGGCCTTGTGCCTTCTCTCCTCAGTCCAATAGCCTCCAGAGACCAAGAGCCGAATCATCGCCGCGAGGTCCCGACGCCCATCCTTCTCGAGGGAGGCAACAAGGTCCCAGACATGGTGAAGAGAGGCAGGCCCCTGGATTCCAGCGCCATCCAGGTGCTCGGAAGCCTGGCGCCACTGGAGGGTGTCGATGGAATCGGCAAAAGCCTCAAGAAGAGGGCCTAGCGGGCCGTGCCCGTCCTCCATCATCTGCCACTCGTCACCACAAGGCGCGATGAGAGTGAAAGGTGAGGGGCGCTGCCATCCTACCGCCAACATCGTGGCTTGAAAAGCCTCCATCGGGCCGCGGACCCAGGGCCGCCCTTTTCGGACCTTGGCCAAAGAGGCCGCCCAGAGACAGGCCAGGCGACGGAGGGGCCCAGGGCGGCCCGCAAGGCGAGCAAATCACGACTTGACGACGCGACGAACGTACACCTGGAGGGGGTCCTGGCCATCGCCGAAAGTGAGACGGATAGCGGTTGTGGCGCGCACCCCTCTCTGAGGGGTCTTGCTGGCAGCACGGGCCATGCTGCGAAGGCCTTTGAGCATGGAGGGGGAGGCGCCGTGAATCTCGGGCGCCCACATGGCCTTCGCATGAGCATTCGGAAAGAACAATTTACTGGCTTGCCTGCGCGTGCGCCCGAACATGAAAATCTTACTACTGGCATCCCGCCCCTTGGTAAAACGGGTCTTCCTGACGACCGCAGCCCCCCTGGCGCCCAGAGCGGCGTCGTGCCCCAAATCCCTGGCGGCCAGGGCCACCGAGAACTCGCAGCCTTCACTGACAGCAATCCTGGAAAGCTCAGCCCGAAGGCCTGGCGAGGACGCGAGCAAATGGGACTTTCCCAGGGACAACTCACAGCGACGCCTCCTGAGGCCAGTGAGGAGGGCTCGTAGCAGGATGGGAAACGCAGCGGCGATGGACGAGTGCGTGCCAAAAAGACGAGCTGATATGTCATCGACCCACTCCCGCAGCCGAAGGCCACCGACCGATCCATTGGCTCCTGCGAGGGGTTGGTGCAAATGTGCTGGCGCAAGGGAGGTGGCCTGACCACGTCCAGCCAACGTGCCCCCATGAGCCAGGATCCCAGGATGGACAGCCCCCTCCAACGACAAATACCGAACTCCCAAGTAGATCTCGATGGCCAGGGCCAACAGACGGAGTGGGTAATCTAATTCTCGAGCCGCTTCCACCAAGTCCTTAAGACAGACTTGGTCATAGTACTTCTTCATATCCAGCAAAAGGCCCCCGACCTGGAAACCGCTGTGGAGGGCAAGTTCCGTTTTCAAGCTCGTCAAGCCAACCAGCTACGTCGGCCGAGCCCCCAACGGTCTGGTCCCAGGGCCCATGCGCCCCACGGTCCCAAGCCGTGATGAAAGGCTTCCTGATGCGCAATAGAAGCGTATAAACAAAGCCGAGCAGCGCAATGTGCCTTTTTCCCCCGTCAGGCTTTGGAATGAAGGCGATCGAGGCAAAACGCTGCTGGAAAGGCAAAGTGCACTGCTCCTCAATGGACTCTAGAAGCTGAATGCGGCGGAGCTTGGCCTCGACACTAGCCTCCTTGATTAAGCGCGGCTCAATCAAATCCAAGCCCTGACCCCTGGAGTCAGGCAACGACTTGAGCGCGCGATTAAGGGTGTCCAGGTCGATGGGTGGCAAACGCGGGGCCGACCGAGCACACTTACGCAGGGCAGCTAACGCAGCCCGCGCCTCGTCCTTGTCGTGCTGTTGCCAGATGGCCGTCCAAGCGGCCGCTTCAAAGTCTAGGAGCTGATCTAAGGCTGAGCAGGGTCCTTCCTCACCGATCTTTTCGGCCTCCAGAGGGTCCAGGGGTGGCTTCAACAGCCTATGGGCCGGCCCCGCAGACCAGCAAAGCGCCCCTTGGAGCCAGGCCTTCCACGAAGCCTTCTGAGCCTGAAGAGCGTCACGGTGGGATTTTTCAGACACCTGCTGGAGCTCTACTGGCAAGTCTTGCAGCCCGTCGAACGGCAGCTCAGAAATGCGCTGAAAACGAATCTTCCACAAGTTAAAGGTTCCACACTGACCCGCGTCGGAAGGGTCAGACGGGGGAGGGGGCACCTGCCGAGAAAGCCAAGCCAAAGTGGCACGAAATTGAGCTGCATGCTTACGGTCAGGCTGCGGCGGGATATCCTCTGTGGAATCCTGCGGGACCGGCTTAAGTTTGACAAAGGCAGCTTGCCAGAAACGGGCGTCGCGGTCTGCCTGGCAAGGCCCCTCAACCTGGGCCGCCGCGAGGGACACCAAACGCAGCCTGGGCTCCTGGCAGCGACCTATAAACTGGAACACCTGATCCTGGGCCAAACCAAGCTTCGAGAAGGCCTCAAGCTCCAGAGCAACAATCCAGGTAGACAACTGGGCACCTAAATCGAGATAGACCTGGATGTTGTCATGCTCGAGCTTGAGGAGACTGGCAGCGGCATAGTTGGCCTTGAAGAAACCTGGCCGCTTACGTTGCAGCAGCTGCGCCTGCACCAGGAAGTGCGGCCAGGCTTCGACAGGGGCAGCAACGCCTTTGACAGGAATGGGCTTAGGTCGCACGGCCTTCCAAACCATGATGGCCCTGGGGGAAGCCAAGACTTGAAATTCCAAAGCAGCGTGAGTGCCCCAAGGCACTGGAACAAGCGACCTAAACTGGACAGCACTAGAGAAGCTAGCAGAGATCAAAGCGTAATCGATCCGACTGGTGGAGACCCCAGAGCACGTAACCGAAACACCAGGCATAGGAACGGGGACGAGGCCGAGAGACTCCAGCCAACCTGACTCCCCAAGAACACTCTGGTCCACCTGCCAGTCGCCCACCACAAAGGCGGGAACACCTGCCGCGCTCAGATGGGCGCCGAGGTCCGCCAGCAGCTCGAGGTTCTGACCGCTGAGCTCACCCCCCGTGACCAGGTAGACAGGGGCGATGGTCAGGGAAACCTTCCGAAGCCTCAGAGTACACAACAACCACCGAGCCGTACCAGCCGTGGTCCACTCACCCGCCTCGCATGTCAATTGTGAGAGCCCAAGATGAGAACGCGCGGCAACAATAACACCTGACGATGCATCATCAGCGAGCGTGGGCTCAGCGGCCTGCGCCGCAACCTTCCAGCCCAGCTTGTGTAGCTTCTTGGCCATCGCCTGGTACTTGGAACCGCGCATCCTGTGCTCGACAAAAATGATGATGTCTGCCGAGCATGCTGCAACCCACCTGCAAGCGGTTGGGCCTCACACGCTCATGTTGGAGTAGACAATGGACAAGGAACGCTGAGGGGCGGTGTCGCTGTCAGGGTCGGGCCCGGGCCCCTGACTCTCATCGTCATGCGAATCCAGCAAAACGGGCGCGCCGCCTGATCCACGAGGGGCACCACTGGGCGATTGCTCCAACCCCGTGGGCGGCAGGGAAGGGTTCGACGGCCCTGCAACGAAAGAACTTGGCGAACCAGGATTTCCAGCAGCACAGACAGGCGATCCACTAGCAGCGACAATAATCCCAGGGCCTGAGGCACGGTTGGAGGTGTCAAACTCACGTTCAGCAGGGACTATGGAGCGGGCGTGACGACGAAGTTCCTCTTCCCATGCATCAGGGTCTGACTGCGAAAGCAAACGCATGTTGGTATGGTAGCGAGCCCTCGCACTCCTCCTGGACCTCCAGGCCGATAGACAGATGTCATGAGCCATGTCACGCCTCATGATAACCAAGTTCTCAATGCCAGTCCGAGCCGACTGCTCCAAGGCGAGAGGATCGTAAACACCCCGGGGCAAGCAAGTCAGAAACGTAATTGACACACAAACGCATCCAGTGAGCTTGGTTGGTAGGCTCATCCAACGAACTCGGGTCCTGGAGCCAGAAGTTTGTGTATAACCGAAGACGACGCTCCATAATAAGTCGCTGACGAATGGCCTCACGCCGTTCAGGATCCTGGTCCTTACAGGTGAGGGCAGAGTTCGCGGTGTGCCCTGCAGCGGGCCCCCGCAGGACCGCGCGCCCTTGGGAGTGAGGGGCCGTCCCCTCTCCAGCGGCGCCTCCCACATGACGCGCCTTCTGGGGCCAGCGCGACCGCCTGTCTGCCCTTGAAGTCGAGCACGGGGCCGAGGTCGCCGCCGAGCCCGAAGCAGTAGATGCAGCAACCGACGAAGTAGTGGCCGTGCCGCGAGCGCATGCGGCGTCGTCTGCCGAGCCTCCAGCAAGACTCGCGCCGCGGGAATCCGTGCTGAGGTCTTGGCAGGGCCAACCTGCAGCAGGTGCCGTCCGCGGGGTCATTGCCTTCGCAGGCACGGTGAGTGAGCGCCCATCGTATGAAACCGACAAGGACGCAGTAGCACCAGGAGGGGTCGTCACAAGCAGGAAAGAAGAGGAGCCGCCTGCCGTCTAAGTGGACGGTGCAGAAGAAAGTGAACATGAGGAGGCCGATCTTGAGAACACACCGCCTGGAGAGCTGCAGGTAGAACAGCTATCACACGCTTGACCATCACCAGCAGAGCTAGGAGCCCGACTCGCGAGCCTCAACCTTGGCCCGATCAGCAGCAGCCTTAGCCCGTGCGAGAGTGTCAGCGCGCGCCTTCTCGATCCTCTTCTCCTTGTCGGTCGGCTCGGCAGGGGCCTCAGCAGCCAAGGGCACAGCCTTCGGCGCATCAGCCGCAGGCGCCTGAGAGGAAGCGGCGCTCTGGCTGCCCGCACCTTGAGAAGCCGCGACCCCTGTTGCAACCGCACCATCAGTAGTCTTGTGTTTCTTACGCAGCTCACCCATCCGCTTCTGGTATTCCTCCTGGTGCGTCTTGTGCTGGGATTTGATGCTCGTGAGCGCTCCGTGCAAGAGGGTCTTGACCTGCTGGGACTGCTCAAGCTTGAACTTCTCAGATCCCTCGCGGTCCTCGGCCGAGAAGGCTGGCCCCGAGACGTCCAGCTCTTCACCGAAGCCGAGCTTGATCTCATCGGCGGAGTCCTTGAAGAGGGCGCCGAGGGAAATGACGTTCTTGCTGGAAATGGGCTCATCAGGCTTGAGAACTCCGACGGCAAGCTTACGGGTGGCCTGCTCAAGTATGTCAGCGTTCTCCAGATCCCTCGCCATGAGCTCGTCAAGGTGCTTGTCCAGATCACTGACCTCCTTGTTCAGCGCCGCGCGGCGCGCCAGGGCCTTGTCGAGCTTCTTCTTGGACGCCTTCTTGGCCTGCGATGCACGTTGCCACTCGGCCTGAGGTGTCGCCTGGGGCTGGGGCGGAGGCTTGGGCACGAACTGAGCGAGCAACTTCTGGGCCAGCTCGGGCGCGAGGTGCGAAGCAGCCTCCTTGACAGCCGCGAGAGCTTGAGAAGGAATGGCTTCGGAGGGGCCCTGCTGCACCTGCTGCGCCTGGGTACCCTTGCGCCAGCGGCCCTTGGACTTGCTGCCTCCCTCACCCCATCCAGACTCCTCAGCACCCGTGTACAGAAGCATCTGGCCGCCGCCGCCGACGCAGGATCTGAGCGGGCGGCGCTGGGACTGGCAGCCGACGCAGAGATTGTGCCGCTTGGCCAGGAGGTCATTCCAAGTCCAGTGGCCACAAGAGCACGCAGTGTACAGACGAGCGCCGCGATTCTGCCCAGCCTTGGCGCCCCCAGGCGGAACTCGGATCCAGGGCTGCCTCGTCCAAGTTTCCTCCGCATCATCGGGGATGCGCCGCGGGGCGGGGGCCATCGCAGCGCCGTAGCAACTAGCTCCGTCAGGAGCACGCGAAAGATGGGCTGCCAGAAGCCCGTGCAGTACTGGCAAAAACTGTCAGGCACAAGGCCTTGGCACTGCTGCGGACTAGCAGCTTCCAGTTCGGCACGAGGGCGCGGAACCCTCAGGTGCAGCATTCTTGAGCCAAAATGGCTACTGAGGGGGAGGAGGAGGAGGAGGAGGAGGAGGAGGAGGAGGAGAAGGAGGAGGAGGAGGAGGAGGAGGAGGAGGAGGAGGAGGAGGCGGGAGGAGGAGGGAGAGGAAGGTTTAGGAGGAGGAGGAGGAGGAGGAGGAGTAGGAAGGAGGGAGGAGGAGGAGGAGGAGGCTCCGTAGCCATTTTGGCTCAAGCCATTTGGCTCAAGCCGTTCTGGCTCAAGGTGGTTGGCGCAACCTGGGGCCCATTTTTCTGACCTGCTGATAGCAGGCGCGAACCGTCACGATTTCTTTCCCTCTCAGTTTCTCTGTGCAATGTCCTGGCGCACTCCCTGGTCCGGGCGGAGCTCCTCCCCGAAGGCGTACAGCTGGACCTGCAAGTGCTGTGTCGCGTCTGTCTCTTGGAATCTGTCTTGGTGCTGGCGCTGCGGCGAGCACTTCTCAGGCAAGAAGAAGACCCAGGAGACGGACGGGGGGAAGCCCAAGTCCAAGGGAGCCAAAGGACGTCGTCTGCGCGGAGGAGTCCAACCTGACGTTGCCCAGCAAGGCGGTGGAGGCGGCAGCGGCGGGGCGTTGGCAGGCGCCGACAGCCCCCCTGGCCTCCCGCAGGCCCCTGGAGGCCCCCCCCGCCCAGGTGGCGCAGGGGCCGAAGGGGGAGCTGGCGCAGCGCAGGCCGATGGCGGCCCAGGCGCCGCCTCCGCCCCGCCCATCACGGGCCAGCAGATCCAGATCTGCCAGCAGGCCCTGGACATCATGCGCAAGTTGGGTTCAGTCGGACAGCCGGCGCAGCAGGCCCTGGCAGGGTCCTTGCAGTCCATGCGCGAGGCGCGCGCGGCTACTAAGCCCATCAGCGCCCAGCTGCAGCAGGCGTCAGACAAACGCATTAAGCATCAGAAGCAGCTCGAACGACATGAAGAACAGCTCCGTGTCTACCAGCTCCGAGTGGTCAACGCCCGCCAACACCTCGAGCAGCAGGAAAAGCTTGTCCAACAAGAGCAAGCAGCCATCGAGGAGACCCGCATCAAGATCGAGGAGGCGAAGAAGGCAGAGGCAACCGCAGATTCAGCGGAAGCCGAGCAGGTGCCAGGTTTGGCCCACAGTCTTGATGATACTCCTGCAGTCGAACTGTTGGCAGCGGTTGAGCGGAAGGTCAGCGCCATGGCCAACGACAACCAGACCGAGCTGGGGAACATCTTCCAGAGGCTCACCATACTACTCCAGCCTCAGCCAGAGGCAGCGAGCCGCGCTGCATCCTCGAGCCCAGCGAGTAAGGCAGCGGCAGGAACCCCACCTGGAGGCGGCGGGCTTGCAGGAGACGGCGCGGCCGAGTCGGCGGCCAAGGCCGCCCCAGCGGCCAAGGCTCCTCCGCAGCGACGCCGAGCAGCAGGCGAGCGAGGCGGCGACGGCCCTGAGGCACGCTCCAGATCGCCCACCAGCCGTGAGGCAGGAGTGGCCGAAGGGTCTGCAGAGCCCAAGGCCAAGGCAGCCCCACCGTCTCGTGGGTAGCAGTTTCACGTTTATCACTATCAACACATCCTCGTGGAAGACGGCAAAACTTTTTCTTGCCAGCGTGCCGAGGTCCACAGAGGTTGTGTTTCTTTAGGAGCATAGGCTCCGTGTAGCTCAGATTCCAGAAGTTCAGAACACTCTCAGTCTCCAAGGGTGGGCTAGCTACTGGAATCCCTGCCTGGTCACCTCTGAGAATCGAAATTCGGGAGGGGTGGCCATCCTAGTTCGTAGGCATTTAGACTCTTGGCAATCTTCCGTCTCTAGTAGTGTCCTGGCTCCTGGGAGGATAGTGCGCGCATGCCTGAGAACTCTGAGTTTTGGGATTGTCAGTTTATACAGTAACTATTGGGTGGACTCTATTGGGCCTGGTAGGGCCAACAGGGTTCTGTCCAAGATCTTGGGGTCTCATATCCTGGGCTCTGGAGTTCCCTTCGTCGCGGGTGGTGATTTCAACGTAAACCCTGAGACGCATCACGAGCACATGAGGCCCCACAAGTACCTAGGAGAGATTTACGCACCTGAGTCCGCGACTTGCATCATCGGGGACAACAGGACCGTCATAGATTATTTCATCGTATGCCGTCAACTCGCCCTCAGCTTCGAGAGGATAGCAGTAGACGAGGATGCGATGATACCGCCGCACAAGCCAGTCACGATGTCTTTGAGCAGCGCTACCGAGGACATATTGGTTCAAAGGATTGTTAAATACCAGAAGGTACCAGCTGAGGTCCCCACAGGCCCCTCGAAGCCCCCGCCCGACTACGGTGATTTGGCTGGCGAGATTCAGGCCCTGCTCGAGGATTTTCGCCACCCTTCAGGAAAAGGTTTTAGAGCGCCAGCAGGAGACGGCGAGAAGGCGATCCTGCAGGCAGCTCTGGATCGCATCTACCCCGCCTGGACTGACAGGACTTGGGGTGAGCTTAAAGACAAGTTACAAGTACCCACCGCCATCGGCTTGGAAGGAGGTCGGCCTCTGCAGTTTGAGACGGTCCGCCTCTCAGAACTTCTCCTCACCTCCAGGAACCCTTTACCCAGCGAGAGCAGATGCATTGCGTGGATGCTTCGCCGAATCAAGGAGTTAAAAAGTCTTATTCAGAGAGGACCTTCCAAGCAGTTTCAGGACCTCGCGAATCACACTCGCCAGCTCCCTTCGAGAGGGGGCCCGTTCAGGACCCTTTGGAGGAGCCATTGCGAGTTCTGGCACCACTTCTGCGCGGAGCTCGGCACCCTTGCTCTCACTCCAGGCAAGCAGGACATCTTCGTCCAAGCTGTCGAGTGCTGGGTGCCCATCCTTGGCGAGTTGTTTGACAGTTATGTTAAGAAGGAGAGGAAGGAGGCGACGGCAAGGTGGGACAATTGGTGTGAGGAGGCATTAGCTGGAGGAGCGAAACGAGGACATAGCAGTACCAAGGTTTCTGGAGGAGGAGACGAGGATACTGTCAAACATCCTGATGGAGCCCGCTCTTCAGCTTTCGGCCTACGGTTTCAAGAGCAACATGATATTTGGAGCAAGGCCTGGGGGGTTCACGAGCCCCGAGTTCAGCTGCAGGATCCCCTGGATACCAACTACTGGATTCCCCCAGGCCCCTCCAGAGACCAATTACGTAAGATCTCGTCAAAGTTCAAGACGTTCACCACCGCTGTGGACGGGTACCACCCCAAGCACTTCTCCCAGCTCTCTGAAGGCGCCCTTGAGGTCATGGAAGGCATCGTTAACACCATGAACGTTCTAGGAAGCAGCCCTTCGGCGCTGAAAGAACTGATTGTTGCACTATTCCGCAAGGCGACTGGAGGTCGAAGGCCCATCGGGTTTTTCAAGAGCTTCAGCCGCATATACTCTAGGAGCCTATCTCACCACTGCCGCGAATGGGAACGTATCTCGGCCAAGTCGAAACATTCCAACATGGCCCCTCATAGGCGCACTACAGATTCCGTCTGGAGGGCGGTGGTGAGAGGCGACATCGCAGATCATTCAGGCAAGTTTGTAGCTACCCTCCTGGCAGATTTAAAGCAGTGCTACGAGCACATTGGCCATCACACAATGCTCAGCGAGGGCATGAGGTGTGATTTCCCTTTGTTCGCGCTGAAGGCGGCGCTCGACTCTTACAGGTGGCCACGGAGGCTACTCATGGACAACGCAATTGGCGAGCCCCTCTACCCCACCAGAGGGATTGTAGCGGGCTCCTCCACGGCCACCTTTGAAGTTAACGGATGTATGATTCCGACGATCCGCGACACGACGATCAACGATGGCACGTCTCTCTCGATGCACATCGACGACTTGGCGTTCGACTCGATAGGATGTACTGTTGAAACGTGTTTGAATGGCTTGGCGGATCTTGCAGCTAGGATTTTTCATAAGTTTACGTATACCCTCGAGCTCCCTATCCATATGAAGAAGCTTAACTTCACGGCTAACAACTTCGAGGTCTTGAAGCAAGCTCCTGGGGCTCTTGGGGAATACTCTGGGTCCATCAAGAATTCCATTACCAATCTGGGGGTGTTCTATAACGTGGGGAAGATCAGGGCCGCCAAAGGATGCAGATCGAAAAAGATGTCCAGGTGAAAGGAGAACATGAAGCGTCTCCCCAAAATCTGTCGACTTCGGGATCGCAAACAAGGCAAGCCGAAAAAGGTCAAAATATACACCTGCGGAGTCAAGCCCTCCATATGCTATGGGGAAGAAGTCTCAGGACATTCGCCTCAGGAAATAAAAAAGTTAAGAGTTCAGACTGCACGGCTTCTCGGCATTTGGTCGCCTGGCTGCGACATCAACATTTGCTGGCTCATGAAGCCAGAGTCCGACCCCATCTCCCACGCCAGTGCCACCCTCAAGAGGTATTGCAGGGAGTGGTGGATGACCACAGACAGCCAGATTAAGCCGCCAGATGCTCTCAGCCCGAAGGAGCTCCGCCAGAGCTACGAGTTCTCTCAGAGGTTTTTTGATCAAGTACCTCGGGGGAAGGGCTGGGCCTACAAGGTCAGGAGCCCTCTCACGGACTCCCTTTTCTGGACGGAGCAGGCAGGCTGGTATTTCAAAGGCCCCACGACGGTCAAGACCAGCAATGAGCTCGAGCTCAAGATCACGGAGTCCTCACCAGCTCTCATACAGAAGCTGTTCACGGCAGACCTCAGGCTGAAGTTTTTGGGAAGCTCGGTGTGCAAAAAACTGTGCGAGTCCGAGGTCCCCGACGATGACATCCACCCCAGGGCCAACGAGATCAGAAATCGAGGTTTGTGGGGTTTCCCGTTCAGTAAGGTCTGGAACAGCAGCAAGTGGAGCTACGATTCAAAGAGACGCTTGAGAGATTTAATTTGCAGCACGACTCCCACCAGCCATCTTCTTTGGAAGCGAGGTTTCAAGGTGGAGCCGACCTGCCTGTACTGCGGCCTGTGCGACACTGTCTTCCATAGGCTGTGGCACTGTCCCCATGGGGACTCAGCAAGAGGAAATGTCGACCCTGTCATTGTTGAGGCGGCCCGAAGTTCCGCGGGTAAGGACCCCCTTTGCACCCAGCTGTGGATCCCCGTGCCCGAAATCAAGACATCTCCTCCTGATGATGATATAGTTGAGTATTGCGACAGGGTCGGCGAAATTGACGAGTTCGATTTCACGTGCCCTACCGAGATCTTCATCGATGGCAGTTGTCTGGAACCCGCGAACCCTCTTCTGGCCCGAGCGGGCTGGACGGCAGTTGAAATCACAGCTGGAGGCGACCTGAAACGTGCGGTCCGAGGTCCCCTTCCCAGGAAGTTCCCTCAAAACGCTGCCTGGGCAGAACATCACGGGCTCCTCCAGGGACTACGCCACCTGTGGCAAGATCCTGCAAGATTCGATGAAGAGGCAGATATTTTTGCAGACTGTCAGGCCCTGCTCACTGGATGTGCCTTTTCGTTCAGAGCCCTGGACGGCACCTCCCAGCAGGCAGGCCACTGGCGAGCCATTCGGAGATTGGATAAGCAGTTTACCATACATAAAGTCAAGGCACACCAGACTCTCCAGCGAGGAGATCGAGAATGGGCAGATCAACTACGAGTAATAGGGAATGCCTGGGCCGATGTCATGTGTCGTGAGGCCGCCCGTGAATATGCCTCCCCCCAGGACGCCGAGGCCTGTAAAGAATCCCTAGATGGTTGGTTTGCTGTGTTTAAAGCTGCGGTGTCGATTTTAGAACTCTGGCCTTCAGCTAGGGACATGCACGGCACCTTGGAACGAGAATCGAAGAGTTTAAGGCCACCCCCCCGAAACCATAGGCAGCACAACGTTTTGTGGAATGGCCGTCTGTGGCAGTGCCTCTCGTGCGCCAAGAGCTTCAGGTCCCCCCCGTCGCGCGCGAATCGGTGTGCTGCACTCCCTCCCACCTTCGGGGCCCTGGTGAGGGGATGCAACCTTCCCACCCCAGGACACAAGATGTGGGCGTGCAAGGTTGTTTCTTCAGGCATTCCAGTTTTGTATTGCTCGAGGTGCGGGTCGTACTGCACCCGCACTCCCAAGCATCTTCTTGGACCCTGCGCTAAGATCAAGAAAGCACAGGTTCGCTGTTTTCGCCGAGGCACTTTGCCTTGGCCCAAAGGCACCCGTCTTTCCCGCCCATGGAGAGTTCTCCACGGTGCTGCCCAGTGGTGGAGGGACCTGGGCGGGGAGTTGGGCGGGGATGGGGATCGTTCAGGTGCTGCGCAGCCCGCAGGCGATTCTGTCGAGTCTGTCCGTCCTGCCGTCGCCGCGCCGCCCCGTGCGAGCGACTTTGAGGAGGAGGGGGAGGCGTCGAGGTTCCTTTTCGGGCCCCAGGCCGACGGCGCCACCTCCCCCCGCGGAGCGAGGGCCACCCTGGCCCATACAGGGGCCAGGGGCCCCCCGCCTTTGGTCCCAGGGCAGGCCTCGGACGACTCCGACTAATCTTTCTCCCGAGGTCAGGCGAGCCTGGATTTGGCTGACCTCTCAATGCCCATGGATGAATGAATGAATGAATGAATGAATGAATGAATGAATGAATGAATGAATGAATGAATGAATGAATGAATGAATGAATGAATGAATGAATGAATGAATGAATGAATGAATGAATGAATGAATGAATGAATGAATGAATGAATGGA